CGTCGTACTATCGTAAAAAAAACTTGCAAAATTGTGGCCACGTATATACAAAAATGTGTAAAAATTGTAGACCACTGTCCTTTTTCGAATCAGAGTTGTTATGCTCTCCTGATTCACCGCACTATAATTAAAGCTACGATGTTTGTAACAAAAGAACTGTTAACCTGCGCGTTACCGTTAGTACCATACCTTAGTAAAATGATTTGAAGACATTCTGAGTTAATGATTTCCAGCTCTGTGTTTGATATTCTTCTCGCTAGTCCATGGAAATGTATTTGTTGTAGAACTTCTTGGCTTTTCTGCTATCCAAAAGATGCACCTTATTTCTTTAAATGAGCGCCGCTGTACCATGGTCTCTGGCCATGTTTCTTACTGGCCCAGACTAATTATACTCTGCGGAACAGCAAGGAATTTTTTCATTCATCAGAATTAGGAGATCTCGTCACTGTTCACTGGTCTACCGTTTCTGAGTAAGTGGTCTCGGTTTTCTAAAAGGTTTAGTGACAGTAGGTAGATTTATTGTTCGGCAACGTCCTGATTTTGACACAAAAGTTCCTTCAGGTCAAGTGACTAGGTTCCGATGTGGGTCGAAGTTTAAGGCGGAAGGAGAACCAATCAGCTAAGTTATGCTAAATCTCTGTTGGGTGTCGGCCGAGGGATTTTCGTGTGTTAGGGTGAATGAACAAGTGTTGGGCCGATGAAGAAACCTATATGCGTTTGGATCCAGCCTAGGGTCTAGTTCTTCTGGTATTCTCTGATATTCTTCTACATTCCTTGGTGGTTTGTTTACCCTTCTTTTATGCTCACCGATTCCGGTGCGCAATCCCTGGCAGTTTGTCCTATGTGAACTCTAGTGCATTCGTTACAGTTACTTTTATACACACAGTACCTAGTCCTTTCAACCGGCAAGCGTATAGTCTTTCCCTTCTGGAAACCGACTCGGATGTGCTTGATTTACCCAAGAGCGGTTTTGCCTTTTTTGTCGTGGACAGCGGGGATATATCCACTGCCGCAATAAGGTCCTCATCTGGTCCTAATTCCTGGAAGATGTTTTCTCCTAAGTCAGCCAAGACGCCGGGCATACGAAAACTCACGTAAACATAAGCACTGATGGCTACCCCAGTACGTCCGCCGTAACTGATGCGCTTTATTAAGAAGTATATTTCTCTTCAATGCACATCAACGGAACAGCTTTTTTTCCAGGGGAATATCTGTGTACTGCTTGAATTCCTAATGAAAAGTTGGACAAAACGTTGACTTTGACAACATATTTGCAAGTGGTACTGTGCTGAAAAGTCAGTCGTTAGAAGAAATTGGTATTCTCTCAAACAGAAGTGATTTGAAATTAATAGAACAAGCACCACTTTCCCGAAACATAAATTCAACATAACAACCCTAATCCAATCCTACGGTGGTTCAACTTTTGGGCACATTAGGTTAGTTTTTAAATACGAAAACGTGGATATCACATATGTTTGATGTTTTATTTCCAAAGGACATGATTTTGTGTCATTAAATTTTAATCAAAGCCGTGTGCAACCTAATTGACGGTACACAAATGTGACAGATGACTTTGATGCTGAAGTTCACCAAACCCTGGATAGTGGGTCAAACCAGACGTAAACTAGCCTATGGTGATGCCTGCGTATTCTCAGCGACATTTGGCGGAGTGCTTCTTATCTCTTTCAAGAAAGAGTAATACATTCTTTTGGGAGACGAATAAATTAGGTGGGCGCAGGAGCTGCAGTAAAAAGTGTTTTTTGATAGTATGCTGTTATTTAGTTATCTGTTTTGGGGAAAAATACCCTGGAACAAACATATATCTGCTTTCGGGCCAATATCCTGGACCAACTGGTTGTCATGGAGATTGCTTAACCAAATAGTTTGGACATATAACCTCTCAACAGGCATTGGAGGAGAGAAATCGATTTTGGGTGTCATTTGAAGCAATTCTTCTCTGCGCTCCTCCAGAATTAGAGCTGCAGTCTAACAGTGTGCTGTCGCTATGTGTGTGTGTGTGGATTGTACCAGTTTTGAAAGATTTTTATGACTGACGTTTATCAATGTCATCTGAATGCGATAAGCCGTTACATTTGATCTTGATCTGAATGGTTGATTTTTGCTTTCTGATGGCAAGGTGCACGAGATCGTGTGTTTCCGATGAAATACGCCTTGATATTCTCTAGCATACTTTTGTGTCGCTGAGTTATTCTCAGGTAGTCTGGCATTATTCCACTTATTTTAGCATGTATACTGAATGGCTGTCGTGTTTCGTCAGTGACCATGGGCTGTGTAAACATTCAGTCTGTTCTAAACGACTTTACCATAAAGAGAGCAAGTTAAGGCATTTTATGTAACACTGTTGTAAACCATCAACATATTCAGTGTTCTAGAACAGTGTTTCCATTCTCAGTGCGTGGTGAGGAAATGAATAAGGAGAGGGTTGTAAAATGTACTGAAACAGTGGAAAATTCTACAGAAACCTGTGAAATTACAAAACGGGTTGGGATGCGCACGTGTGCAGGCTCAAACTGAATGTGTGTGTATTAACATGCTTGAATGGCTGCAATTAATACTGCCACGATACTACTGAATAATTGCATGGAGTACTGCCTAAGTTTGCTGTCCTGGGCTTGGTTGTAATGCCTATCGTTTGCTGAACAAACAACTGTCACGAATAGGAATATTAATGCTGAATCGACTGTGGGTTTCCAAATTAGAATGAATATTGTTCAGCGGAGCGTTAATCCGTCCATGGTTTATGGATTCTATCAATTTTGCTGTTATTATTCAGCTGACTCAATTTTCTATGAATATAGTCATTTATTAAAAAACAAAAAAAACAAGGACAAACACATATCCAAATGATCCAACTGCAGCGGGTGTACAACTGTCATAACATAAATAAAATAATAGTTTTCACATAAACAGGATGAGTAAAAGTGAGATTGGTAGCAAATACCCCACAGATATCCTGGCAGCAACACCGGGCTTGCCACACAAATAGGCGTCGACGTTTTCTTGGCAAACATCTGCAAGTTAGAATGAAGCTAATGTAGGAAACTTTTGGCGCCATGCAATACTGCAGATAAATTGTTGCAGCGATCAGAAATGTAAGTGAAACAGCTAAAACCGTTTAGACGAAATCGTTTCCATTCTTTGCACTATTCGGTAGCTTGCTTACTTTTTGTTTCAAGTAATCTATCTTACTTAAAAAAAGTTCATTTTAGTTGATTCAGTGCAATGGTTTCTGAATCCGAGCATATAACAGATCTACACCTCCCCCGTGCGAACACTTTACTGCAGAAGACTTGTAACTCACTTTCATCCGGACTGATTGCGATCAAAGACGTTGTGCTTCGTTGGTCTGTGAAGAAAAACCATTATTAGTCAATTCGTCGATCTACACCTCCCCCGTGCGAACACTTTACTGCAGAAGACTTGTAACTCACTTTCATCCGGACTGATTGCGATCAAAGACGTTGTGCTTCGTTGGTCTGTGAAGAAAAACCATTATTAGAAATGTCAATTCGTCTGTGATGACGAGAGCTAACCACAGAATAATTTGTCTAGGGGAATAGAAGGGGTTACCTAATTGACTCCAAGCTAAGTTTTCGGACATATCGTGCATCTAATATTCCAGGTCTGAACTTCGTCCGAAACGAAGTGCCCAATGATAGGGTGGATGAATGATGTGGCGCATCTTGAATCCTCATTAATGGGCACTATTTGATCTACTGTCCCATTCAGAGCAACGTAAATTAGATGCGTTTTGAGGATAGTTGATGGTTGTACTTTATCCACTCGAGGGTACCAACGTGGAGGGCAATTTCGTCGCCATTGTTGTGCATGGCACATGCTACATGTGCTCAGCTCAATACGCTATTTAATATTGACGGTTACCTTGTCCCCTTATGAGTGATTAGTGATATTGCTAGTAAGTCGTACCCATCGTTCAAACAGCAGTAACAAATCGATAATATTAGTGAAAACAATTCGTACTTCCTTAGTGCCTGAGAAACTGATTTTAAGTTGGTCTGTTTGGCGCTTTAAGATGATATATATATATATGTATATATATATATATATATTGCTGCCAGACATTACAGTTCAGGTGATGAATAGACCGGTTCACTGCCCGCAGTCCGTATTGATTCGATGCCTCTCAAAAACCACAGAAAATATAAATTTAAAACTTGAAAATCTCAGATGATCGGCAGTAAGATTCAATATTCGGCAGCCAATGGAATGCCATATAGAGACTTCCCAAATGGTGCGATTGAACAATAGCTTACATTCGGTCCGGCCTTCAACAAGGAAATTGCAGGCAGCGAAAACGCATTTGTACCTAACATCATGTGTGGGCATTTGCAAGGAATCATGAAGGTAAGGTTTCGAGGATCACTACACGAATTCAGAGGTTTGTCTCCCATATCGAACCGTTCCAGCCAAAAAAAACAAGAAAAGCAGCACCAAAACCAGATGGAAAATCAACTAAAAGACCCCATGGTCGAAAGTTAGAAAATATGTATAACAGCAACACTCCTCAAATGTTTGATGTTCCGAGTAAATTAAATTTAAGGAGGATGAAATGGGGAAATGATCAATCTATGCATGAATTAAAATGCAAGCATTCATGAACGTTTGCTGTATTTGTGGCACCTGAAGACAACTGGAGTAAATCCTCAATGGTTTAAATTATCACCTGAAATGTTTTGGGATGTTGCGCCTAAACGTCAATTCAAAGGGCCTCGTACTCGGTCACTTGCTAAGGAAGCCTCCCACGGGCCGCTCGGATTTGTCCACACAAACCCTTTCAATTCGAAGAAGGTAATTTAAAAGCGTTTCGAAACAAGTAAATAACACAAATATTGTAATAAATGAGGCTGCTTGGTGCAGAACGTCCAGTTGCCTAGGAACACCCTAAACGAGAGATTCAGCTGGTTTCCTGTCAAAATTAAATCGTTGTGTAAACGAGTGTAATTACAAGCGCTTTGCGTTCAAGTAGAACATATGGTTGAAGGAAACTTGGGGACTGCGCCTATCTGATGAGCCCCAAGTAGGGCAAAACCGGCTGTGCCCTGTCGAAGTGTTTTCAGCAACCTCATGATTAGTGCATTACGTCTATACAAAGGAAATATCCTGTTTGGATGTCTAAATAACTGCTAGTTGGTATTATGTTAGAGAATCCAGCAATCAGAACCATTTGAAATTATCCGCGCTTCTTCTTAGAGTTCACGACTGACGTTCCAACCAGGTACCATTACCACCCACAGATCTCTATGCAATGAAATTTTATTTAGGCTGGTTTGAACACCAAATTGAAAATTTAAGAATACCTCTTATGATGACGTAGGGAATCACCCCATAAAACGGCATCCTAATTTTATTATCATTATACGATATATTCCACCACGTGCCCCTGCTAAATGTTTCTTTTCACTAGTCGATTCCAGTGTCAATTCCAATCACTTGCCTTGGCCCAAATTCTTCTCATTCACAGGCCTACTAAGTAGAGTAGAATAATTTTCCTTACAAGTATTTGCTCTATCCAGCACCAACAGGTTCTCTTATTCCCACGTGGGCTAATATTTGCCAGAACTTTTCTGGAAATGAATTGCAATAACAGCACAAAACTGAAATAGATATGCCAAAAGCGATGCACCCACACGACCAGTTCAGAATTTCGTCTTTCCTGAATGTGCTTTTTGTGAGCTTTTTTATCAAAGACCCCTTGTTATCACGACAAATGAGTTCAACACAGCCAATCAAGAAAATTTCGGTTGTGGGATGTGAATTGTTAAACAGTACAGGAAAAAATCGTTAAACATCAGATTAGGAGGCAAGCCTCCGATTTGAGAATACTTAAAAATAATTGGTGGTGCACTGGGTGCGTTGGTTCAAAGTATGAAGAGAAGAAAATTACGTCCATTGATAATCCTGTGGAAAATAGTCCACAAGTAATTCAGGGATGTAGTTAGGGGAACTGATGACATTCGCAAAACCGGCTGTTGGGTTGATCATGACGGGTTCAGCGATCAACGTATAACTGTAGCCGATTGTGATGGAGCGGTTGAAAAAATAACATTATAGAGTAGCGGCGAACCAAGATTCAAGACAATTGCAAAATAACTATATCCTCAGCTGGCTCAAATTCGGATGCGTTAGAAAAACAAAATTTCGGAAATTTTTACTCCCAACAAAATGAACAATGACGACCGTGAGACGTAACCTAAATGGAAATCATAGGTAATGGGTTAAAAGGTCTAAAACAGTCGTTACTGATTACCTGATGGCTTACCTTGAATTGTCGCTATCGGAGTGTTGGAAGGAAACAACACTTAGAATTTAGTTTTTGATCTTTAGGTTGTGATATGAAAATTCAGTATATGAAAACTCAAGATGGAATCAAGGATCTATCTGGCAGTTTGCGATGGACTGACAGGTATGGTGGTTGCTCGGCACGGCCCGTAAAGTTGGATGATAGACCTGTGAACAAAACACATTACTCAAGAATGATTACAGTCTCCGGTTACGACGTGACAGTTTGTGTACATCAGGTATGTATCGACTGAGTAGAGATTAAACGCATGACAGGTGTTCGGGAAGCTGAATACTATGGGCTGCTAGCGATGTTCTGCAGTAATAATAAATCCGAGCGTAATTCATGTCATTGTTGGTGTGAAATCGCCAGAAAACGTGAGATAACAGCATGTCTACTGTTCAGAAGGGACTGATATCCAAACTGGCCTCCTTTCGAATGTCACAGATGACATTCAGACTTTCTCAATCGAGTACAAAACACATGGGGTTCTCTAGCAGATTTGAGATTCCCAACGTTGCTGGGGCAGAGAGATAGCTCCCCCGCCAGAACACACCTTGAAGTATAGGATTCGAATGTTCTCAGGTTGAAATACCAGCAGATTGGACATCGAATCACCCAGCAGCACATCTCGGAACTCGAGAACCAGATGTCTCTTCAGGGTTGACAAATGAGTGAGCCTAACTTCGGGTTACAAATCGGGACAAACTACTCATATCTGTGCAAGTATTTTTGTTTGTTTGGACTTCTTATTCAATTCAAGTTTGTATTCGGATGTTTCGAAGATGTCAATGATATTCAAGCTAGAGACGAGCTTTAGATACCCTGCAGAATCCGTAATAGTTTCTGGTGGTTTTACAGTGTTGGGGAGATGAAAGACTATGTGAATCATCGGTTAATAGGATTGTGTGAGATAAAAAGTGAATGAAAATCCCTGAATGAATTGACAGCAAGATAATGAAAGATTGATTGTGTTGGAATATTGAACAAAATTCACAGTTTGTGGTGATGCGTACGTGGCGATGATATTCTAATAGTTTGGATTAACCAGTACACGTACTTACAGTGACTCAAAACCTCATAAAATGTGCACTTGGAGCTGACTCGTGGCAGCATTTATCAAGTTGTTGACAGGCTACGAGGTGGTATAGTGAGGACAATTAGGTCAGCACTGCATTTAGGGATCCGCAGTCGTGGTGACACACTGACGATGTGACATAAAAGCCGAGCCTTCTATGATGTCAGTGGATGTTAAAAGGAGCAACCGTACAAATTTGAAGTAAACTCTCAAGGAGTGGTAAACACACCTAAGATAAAGGAAAATGTCTGTAGCTCAGGTTGCGTAGTCTTACGTGAAAGACTAGTCAACGCACAACCACCAACCCACCGCTACGCACCACTACGCTACCAAATAACGCACTGATGATGTCAACCGGTTTGGTGCTGAAACGTTTGCAATCAGATTACCCAGCTCAGCGAACAGGCCAACGACCGCATAAGATAAATTTGAACGTGGCCTACCGGCTTCTGTAACGTACAAGTCAACTCACCTCGCATATAAGCACTGTTTGTCGGTACCTCACGGGGAAAATTCAATTCTGTGACCGAGTCAGTTGGTTTGCCTATTGTGAGACAGACTCCTATTCGATACCCCAAGCACTAGAGGTACATACGCACAAGGATGACATTAGGCTTATTTAGAGAGTGACATACCCGTTGTAATTTCGGCTGTTTTAGCTGAAATGTCATAGGTTGATCATTACGAGATAAAAGCAGTTCGTGTTGTAACATAGGCACTTGAACGGGAAGCCGTAACTTGGGCTGATACACCAAAGTGTGACCTTTATTCACCTTTGTATTAATCAATATTAATTCGACTCTATCATGATTTCGGTTCGCACATGCCCTGACACGCGAGAGAATCACGACACATGAGTTCCTACCAGGAGGCTATACACAATCAGAGACTGGGTTCAGTCCACGGACATTTTTGATAGAAAGTTTGCGCTCTAGCCTATGAGCCACTTCCGGCTCTGTTGGTTCCTTGTTCCCTTGTTTGTAGTGTTCGTTCACGGAGCATATGAGCACCAACCGTAACACTCTGAAGGACAAGATGATAGTACAACCATAGTTTTCATTGCTATTGAGTCACGTATGACTTTGAGCTGTCCATTCGGTCGATGGTGAATTGTAAATGTTCAATACAAACGAATGCGGTTCATCACCGATCAGAAATGTCTGTCAGCTACGGCTATCCACATTCATTTTTGACTCGGTTGGTCCGCTGTTACTTTGTCAAGGGGTGTACTGGCCGAGTTAAATCAGGTGAGTATGCGGTTATAACTAAAATCCGTCTACATCAAAAAGTTCATGCCAAAAAGAAGTCCACTTGATATCCCCAATCCCTGACTCAGTTGTCGCAGCACTTGCTTATTTGAGGATGCCAACGAAAGTTGCGAACGGCACACAAGTGCACTGGTTGCCTAAGGTGGTGTAGTTCGGATGACCAAAGACCGAAATCCGGTTAATTTGTTATCCGATTGAGATCGTGTATTTCTAGAAGCGTAAAGTGTTCTGCAACTCTCAACTATTATGTTGACAGCATAAATGTTCCATGGACTTCGTGTTCGCGGACTGACTTAAGATATTTAACACGACAATATCCCACTAGGGAAATCTGATTAGCACAAATGCTAAGAACAGATTAGACGCAGAAACCTCAAGGGGCATTCCTTGCTGCTCAAGTGTGTTTAATGGAACAGACTTGCAGAATAAATCGAAAGTTTCGAGAAATACACTCATTTGCAAATCGAAAACAGTGAAATTTGGGTTCAAGTAGAACATAAAATTGATGGAACCTCGGGGACTGCGCCTACCTTGTGAGCCCCAAGAAGGGCAAAGCCGGCCGTGGGCTGTCGAAGAGTTTTCAGCAACCTAATGAGTAGTTTCCTCCAACATTCGCAATTCTGGCTATCCGCCTACGCATTTCACACCACGAAGTGTGTTACTACGGTTGTTAGCTGAATATCGATGGTAAGACCCAAGTGGGGACTTTCCAGATAAATGCAATTACGATGTTATCAAAAATATCTGGTTAAATATTCGCAAGTGTCCATCACACAACCCGACGGACAATGGATTCTAAATAATACTTGACATAATTAATTTCTACATTCTGAGTGAGCGAAACAAGTTCTCCGTTCGGTTTTCGATTTGAGTTTGTTTTTCCAGACTGTACGGATTCTGAGCAGATCGCACTAGAATAGGTGTGCTTCAGCGAAGGTACCATAAAAAATCCGCCCGAATGGATAAACATATAAGGACCAAGAAAAGACAGTACACCATGATAAGTTCGGTCTGGTTTAGTCTGTTGATTGAAGACGGTAAGGTGTGACACAAAATTGTTTGTATTTTCCACAGGCTTTGTGCCACGCATGACAGCCGATTTTCGAAAAATTATGCAAACAACTCAGTGCACACAGACTAAACTCACTTGTTGCGTGCGTGGCTGGAAGCGAAGTCAAAGCTGATGCATTTGCATAATTAGTAAGGCTTGCCGAGACAGAAGAATGCGAACTAATTGACTCCTGAGTCTCCGGAACAAATTTAGTGTCTGAACATACTACAGGAGAAAAAAATGTGACCGCATTACCCGGAGGTATCATGATATCAGTGAAGTTGGATTAGAAGTACCAAGTGGTGGAGGACAGGAGTCTTATAGAACAGAGTCTCCATTCACTGTTTAGGAAAGATCTCTTCCAGACAATTTTTGAAGTTAGTACTCCACCAGGCACATATTCTGTCACCGCCAATGGTTGGTTGAATGCAATCAATGAACTTGCGGTTAGTTAAGTGAATTCAAATATGATGGGGTAATCGGAGAGAATGGCACGGCAAAGGTCACATCTATAATATCGAAAACCTCAAGAAACCAGGTGACTTATGTCGCGCTCTGGTAGACGCTGCATAGTTAAGTGAGGTTACACAAACTTGAATACATGGGGAGAAATATGAAATTGCAGCAACGTGTGCAACTCTCCAAACGTGACACCGGGGAAGATGCACAGAGGTGTAACTGGAAACCTGTACTAAATGGACGGGTGGCTTACTTTGAGTAGTGGCTATCGGTGTGTTGAATGGAAACCAGGACTGACCTGTTACTAGATTCTTTGCGATGTAGCAAATGAAGATGAGAAACTTCGAAATAAAACCAGATCTTCCGCTCGTGAGTCCATATTTTGAAACGTGTAGGCATGAAGTCAGTTGAGATTGAAGAAACGTGGATTGTAGCCGGTCAATGATCGCCGAGGATTGTGTTTAGATGGATTTATGCGTACCCCGATGATGTCGAGTGAAGCAATTGCATGGATGGATTAGTTTCCGTATTCGAATTTTATGTATAGTTTCAGCTAATGAGGTTATGATGAATGGAGTTTTTTCCAAATAAGATGCGCTCTGTACCCTTATTACTGATTACCATAAATGAATCTCCACCTCACGCAAAATACAGCAGTGACGAAGTGAAGCGTGGCGTGTCGTCGGATGCATTAGATGTCGCGTGGTTATTCGGACATGAGGGGCCGCGTGGTTCCTAGCGTGTTCGCTTTAAATAAGTGCAAGAAAGATATTTTACACTTTGAAGGGCTTGCTGTTTATGAAATTCTGTTGAAAAATCACAGAACTTCTATACTCCTGAGCAATTTGATAAACAGCAACAGTCGTTGGTGTCAATACAGTATTATCAAATATGTGTAGTATATTACAATAATGAAACATCGATTTTGTGGAAAACGGTTACCGAATTTTCAGGATAGAGATGGGGTCAATTTTGACCTCGCTAGGCGTTATTACGGTCGAATGATCTGGGTGGAACAAACATGGACCATATGTCACATATGGACTTTAGTATTTACCGAAGAGCATTGGTGAGTAAACACTCAGTATTACAAGCCAGAATCTTCGGCTTGCGGTGCTGATCTTTCCTAAGGACTATTGTGTTGCTACTGTACTGTGTACAGTAGCATGAAGCATACACGGATTCCTAACTGGAGAACACCACGTTGAGGATCAAATTAATGAGAATTGGGCAAATCAATTACTATGCCTGGGACTGGCTTATGTTCGATTCGGCTGGCCGGTCTTCAGTTGGTCAGACCCACTTAGGGAGTCCAAATGTGATAAAATGTTTTTGATATTGAGTACCAGGCTAATATTAGCCATGCAGGATATGGTACATCGCGTACACGATTACGAGGAATTACCCTACTTCACCATAGTCATCACGCCCGGCACCGAATGGACGGTATATATATATATATATATATATATTAAGAGTAACTTCGCTTCAGCATTTCTGAATATAGATAAATCAATATGGGTCCAAATAAATCTGGAGTGGATGAGTAGCTGCCGTCTGTTTGTGCATAATACCATGATCTGAAGTCTGTGCATTTAAACCTATGTTGCCGGAGCATCCTCCTTCATGTCCCATTGCGAGAATTCTGATCTGCGCAATCCGATATGTCGAAGGACTGAACCGGGTTTCAGTCTAGCTGCAGCTCATCAGCGGAGCGTTCCCTCGATCCAACTTGATTTTGGACCCTGCTATCCTGACACGTGAGTTGAACTGCCGGTTGGCATGCAACTCGACTCACATGAGTTATCGAAAACAAATTTGCCTAATGTGGCGCACACCCAAACAACTCACTCGGTATCGTTGACGCTGAAATCAGAATCAAGATAAATGCATTGGCAGGTTCACCGAAGCCTACTTGGAACAAAGCGCACTGCAGGGGACCTCGGTAATCTGGACGAATCCTTGGCTGACACAAAAATATACACAGTTTAACATCGAAATGTAACCGTATGGGAGGGAGCTACCAAGTTTTCAGGGAAAGCACAATTGTCCAAATATATGGGTCATATTTCTCATGTTGGAGCACATTGACAGAATGGTGGGTGCTGGATTGTGTTTAGAAGGAAGCTTGTTCATCCCAACCTACATTGTTTTTTGTAACATGTCTTTCCCGGACTCGGAACGTGGTATTTCGGGGGGTCATCTAGGCCCGAATAGTTTGTCAAAATCGATCCTGACCGTTTGGCAACTCCCATCAGTTTGGGTGAAGCCATATGATGACTCGAAATGACGGAAAACAATCCATATTGCTGTGTTTGCGGCAACGATTACCAAACACTGCTAATACACCTTTGATCAGCATGACTCCTAAGAGGTGACTTGCAATGGATGGGTATCCCCTATCGCATTGGTTGCGCCATAGCTATTCCTAAAAATAAGTGCTGTAGTATTGATTCATCGTAGATGACAATATTGGACTAGCAAGCAAATCAGCTGCCTATAAATGATGTCAAATATTGACAGATATTTGAAGAAGGGTTGAGCATTTCCAATCTTAATATGAACGCGAATGATACTGTTGAACTTCACTAGTTGAAACACTTCGTGTTCAGATTACCCCTAGAAGCTTCTCGTGGTGCGGACAAATCTGTGACCGAGTCACTTAGTTTGCCTACTCAATAATCCGGGCAATAGAGGCACATATGCACATGGCTAACATTCGGCTTATCTGGAGAGCGACTTACCTTTTGTAATCTCGGCTATCTTAGCTGAAATTGAAATATCACAGGTTGATCGTTACAAGAAAAAACAGTTCGTGTTGCAACAGACACGGCTGAGCAGGAAGCTGTAATTCAGCCTGATGTGTGATTGAAACTGAGCGCTCTGTGCTACAACTCACGGTTTGTCTCTATTATTTGTTTCCCATTAATGATACCATTACACGTCAAATATACTTTTATCCAGCTCATTAACAACTACCTCCGATCAAACCGCAGTGGATCCAATCGCTAGTAAGGTACATTAGACCCTTACTAGCAGGTTCTTTCAAGCAGGAGAATAAAAGTATTTCTGCTGTGAAATCAAGAAACTCCGTGTTTAACTAATTCATTCCTGGGGGTGGACTGTCGACTAGAATGGCTTCTGAATAACATCCCTTTTCGAAAGTTGGTGAGCTCTCTCTAACACAAAGAGATGTTACTCAATTTTTGTTGCTCTTATTGAAAGGGGAATCGCACCAAGTGCATTCTATCGTTTGGTGAGGCCTGCCCGGAATGGAAATGCAGGGTGACTCCGTGACTAATTCGTGAGATGATTCATTATGTTTTTTCCGCCAAAAAAGCCATCGACATATTCCCATATCGCAGAGGGCTACCGGATTTCCACAAAAGACTAGAACTGTTCAAATATATAGGTTATAGTTCCGAAAGCAAAACACGGTGGTCAAGTTGTGGAGAACACCAGGAGTATTTATTAATAAATGAATTTTGATCTTAGGCGATAGATTTCATTCATGCGAAAAGCAATATATTTTGGTCAACTGCCAGTGAAACGTTTGTTGAGTACGATTGCGGTCGGTTCAGAATCCTATAAATTTATGTGAGCAATGACAAGATGTAAAACAAAGGTCGAAATTCTCAAGGGTGCCCTTGTCGAAACGTTAATGAAAAAGATGCCCATAATTCGGTGGAGGTGCAATTATACGCGCGGTTATTTTCCTACGACGCATGACCACCGCCACTGCCAGCTGCGACGAGAAAATGGGATATTGCCTTGATTCTGTGGTGACCAGTGGCAGTACTGAAGTACACACCTGTGTCTCTCGCTGGATATTCATTTCTCTCATCCATTTGAAGCAGACATAATCGGATGAGATAGTGTACGCCGCGGGTATTTCAAAAACTTCGCTCTTGCACCGAGGGCGGGGTATCACTGATGTACAAAGCAAAGGCTTTAAATGCAAGTACTTTATTACCATCACGTTTAATCAGACTAAAGCTTATCGGATAGCGTGCACGCGGCTATCGTACGTTTGAACCCGAGTGGTCAGGTTGCAGTATCCTACAATTCACCAAACTTC